TGCAGTTTCCATGTTTCATTACTCTCATGCCAATTTAAGCACAAAGATACTACTGAGAGAATCAAAGTTAAAGTATTAATAAAATGTTCTACCATTCTTTTTGGAAAAGCAGCAAGCAAAGTATGTGACCCGACCTTAAAAAACAGCATCTTGCTTCTTTGCACCAAACAGATGACAGTTAAAGGAAGTGGGGTTATTTTCAGTTCCCAGATATTTCTTTGACATAACTTAATTCTACTTCTGATAGAAAAGAAACCCGTTCATAAAGGTCTCCCTTCTAAAATGAAGATTTTTCTTTTTAATGGCAAAATGCATGCAAAAAGCATATGATTATGGTATTTATGTTTCCATTAAAATGTCCTCAGCAAACTGGAGGAGTCTAACCTACTATTTTCAAGCTATTTAGATTTACAGCAGCACAGTGCCTATTTTATTTCAATTATATTTCAGGACAATGCACTCTTGGTGGGAAATGATTATAGAGTGACAGCCAGTAAATGTCCATTAGGAGTTGTCTTTCTACATGCTCCCCAGTTATGGATGTCAGGTGATCGCTATAAAACCCCACTGTATAGTATCATTGTCATCTACATGAAAAACACTATTGATCAGTTGTGCAGCTTCTTTTCTGTATGATGCAAAACATCCTAGAGACAATTTTCAGCTAAGCTAAAAGCTTTATCCTCAAGAACAGTTCTTAAGACACCTCTTTCCTGAACTGTAAAATAAACATAGATTATACATTCCACCTCAACTTTCCTCCATTAATGCCTAACATAAGAAGTCAAAAGCTTCTTAGCAGCCTGTCTCTGTATGCTATCAGTATACAGGATGGTGTCAACATTGCAAGGGCAGCTCATGTATATGCAGCTATACTGATCACCAACAGCTCCCAACCTATGTATTTATTTATTTATTGTTAGAGCTTCATTCCTTCTGAGCAATAAACTCCTCCTCTGTCAAGAAAGAGAATCTGCTTTAATTCTCCAAGATCAAGAACAGAAAATAACTTTTTTAGTGCTACTGGAGAGAATTCCTACAAGTAGTGCAACTGGAATTTAAAGTGTTTCAAGAGTAACAGGAGCTGTTCGCATACATGAATTATGTAAGAAGTCCAATATAAACAACCTCCCATATTTCAACTACATCTTTAACTGATAATAACTATCACTGAACAAACAAACCAACTAACCAAACAGCACTTTCCCCTCCAAACCTCACCAATTTACAGGGTTGGTTTCTGGGTTTTTTTTTTAATCCCCATTGTTGCTAAGATGGGTAAAGCATTATCACTTTCATATAGATGTGTGTCTCCAATGAGTAAATTAACTCCTCTTTCTCCTTTGCTGTATTTTGACATTATGCAATTTACTTTCTAATTTAGAGAAATGGACAGTGTTTAAGAAGTAGCTATGTTCTTCTTACTTGTTTGTGCTATTTGTCTGTCTACAACTGAAGTATCTGGTATAAATGCAAATATAAAATACACCCCAGAGGAGAAACAGGCCTGTTCTTAATACTGGTTTCAGTTAGTTATACAAGAACTCTCTGACAAAAGCATCATCATTTGTTGGAGCAATATAATAGTTGTTCTCATAATATCCTTAAATATGCAAAACAAATCATATAAAATTATCCACTATTCTGATGATCAGTTTACATACTTGTACTCCATTTTGTTGTTATTCATGTACCATGATACCCTTAAACTTACAACATTGGTGGCATGCATTGATGAAAGTAAGAGAGAAGCTGAAGGAATATTAAAGAAAAACAAACCCTTACAAGGCCTCACACACAGGGACAGTAATCTCTTGCAAGTTACAGAAGAATTTGTCATAAGTGTTCAGCAATGGTATGCAAACTATTACAGGACACTTTGTTACAGGCTCCTTTTTAAGAGACTTTTAAATAATCTTTTGGACACACTTAAATGTCAAATTTTGTTTGGCACCAAGCACCAAACTTTAATAGAAATAACATTTCCCATATAAACAATGCTGCTTTTAATATGAACGTGCTAAAGATTTGAGACAGCCTGGCCATTACCAGCTCCTGGCAGTTCAGTGCAAGGGTAACACACTGTGAGTGATTTCCCTTCCCATCCACAAAGGCTGGAAGCAACTGCTTCTATTTAGGTAACCTCTCAAACATTCAGAGGAGAGGAATGGATGAGCAGGAAAAGGGGCAAAACACACTAAAAATAACACTCACAGCAGGTGAATGCTAATGTACACAATATTTTAAGGATGCAGAACTGCAGTCAACTATTTCTTTCAAATTTCTTGTGGCATTATCAGGATAAATTAGACTGCAGAGAACAGAGCTCCATGGAGAAGAGCCTTGAGAGAGGCACTTGGGTGCTTGGTGTGGAAAGAGGCATCATAGATGCCAAGTGAAAGAGGAAGGCCCCACTGCTGGAAAGGGATAGCAAGAAATAATTCATTTTGCAGTGAGGAGCCAGGTATCCTACAGACAAGGAGATAACACAGTTAATGAGCATCTCAGGTCCACACAGTCACAACTATTTCTTAAAACAATGTTCAAATGATGCTTTCTTAATACACCCAAGACAAAGCCTGTAAAACACAGAGCAGCCTTTGGGAAGACAGCTCAGCCATGATCCAGGCTCT